CAAAAATCACTTTCCTATATACCAGCAATGAACAAATAGAATTTGAAATTTAAAACACAATAACATTTACATTTGACCCCCCAAATTTAAATACTTAGGTATAAATCTAACAAAATGTGTATAAAATCTGACAAGGAAAACTTCAAAACTCTGATGACAGATATCAAAAAAGTAAACAAATAGAGATCTATTCCATGTTCATGGATAGGAAGACTCAATATTGTCAGTTCTTCCCAAATTGATCTATAGATTTGATGCAATCCCAATCAAAATCCCACCAGGTTATTTTGTGGATATCAAGAAACTGATTCTAAAGTTTATATGGAGAAGCAAAGAAACCCAGAATAGCCAACATAATATTGAAGGGGAACAAAATTGGAAGACTGACACTACTGTAAAGCTACAGTAATCAAGACAGTGTGGTATTAATGAAGGAATAGACAAATGAATCAATGGAACAGAATACAGACCAGAAATAAACCCATATAAATATAGCCAATTCCATCTTTGACAGAGAGGCAAAGACAATAGAATGAGAAAAGGTAACCTTTTCAATGAATAGTAGTGGAACAAGTGGATATCCATATCCAAAAAATAAATCTAGACACAGACCTTACATCCTTCACAACTCATCATAGATCACAGACCTAAATTAAAATGCAAAACTATAAAACTCTTAGAAGATAACATAGAAGAAAATCTAGATAATCTCGAGTTTCATGATAACATTTGAGATACAACACCAAAGGCATGATCCATGACAGAAAGAACTGATAATCTGGACCTGATGAAAATTAAAGTTTTCTGCTCTGCCAAAAGTACTGTCAAGAGAATGAAAGACAAGCCACAAACTGGAAGAAGATATTTGCAAAAAGCCTATCTGATAAGGGACTATTATCCAAAATATACAAAGAACTCTTAAAGTTCAGCATTAAGAATATGATTGAAAAATAGAACAAAAACCTTAACAAACACCTCACCAATGAAGAGATTCAGATGGCAAGTAAGGATATCAAGAGATGCTCTGTGTATGTCCTTAGAGAAATACAAGAAAACGATGATGAGATATCACTACATACATACTGGCATGGCCAAAATCTAGAATGTTGACACCTTATTCTAGTTTTGATTTGCATTTCTCTTATAATTAGCGATGCTGAGCATCTTTTCATGTGCCTGATGGCCATTTATGTGTCTTCTTTCAAGAAATGTCTATTTAGGTCTTCTGCCCATCTTTGATTGGGTTACTTGCTGTTGTTGTTGTTGCTGTTTTTGTTGTTGTTGTTGTTGTTGTTGTTTGATATTGAGTTGTATGAGCTGTTTGTATATTTTGGAACTTAACCCCTTGTTGGTTACATTGCTTGCAAATATTTTCTCCCAGTCTGTAGGTTGTCTTTTTGTTGTGTTTATGGTTTCCTTTGCTGTGCAAAAGCTTTTAAGTTTGACTGGGTTCCATTTGTTTATTTTTGCTTTTATGTCTTTTGCCTTGGGAGACTGTTCTAAGAAAATATTGCTACGATTTGTGTCAGAGAATGTTTTGCCTATGTTCTCTTCTGTGGCTCATGTCTTGTATTTAATTCTGGGCTCTCTATTCTGCTCTGACCTACATGTCTATTTTTGTGCTGACATCACACTGTTTTGATTACTGTAGCTTTGTAATATTGTTTGAGATCTGGGAGTGTTATGACTCCAGCTTTGTTCTTTTTCCTCAGGATTGCACTGGCAAGTCTGGGTTTTCTGTGGTTCTGTATAAATTTTAGAATTATTTGTTCTAGTTTGGTGAAAAATGTCCTGGGTAACTTGATGGGGATCACATTAAATCTGTAGATTGCTTTGGGTAGTATGGCCATTTAAAAAATATTCTTTCTTCCATTCCAAGAGCATGGGATATCTTTTCATTTCTTTGAATCATCTTCAGTTTCCTTTATCAATGTTTTATAGTTCTCAGTGTATACCTCTTTCACCTCCTTAGTTAGGTTTATTCCTAAGCTTTTTTCTTGATGTGATTTTAAACAGGATTTTTTTTTTTACTTTCTGATATTTCATTGTTACTATAAAGAAATGTAACAGTTTTCTGTGTATTCATCTTGTAATCTTGCTGAATTCTTTTATTAGTTCTAACAGTTTTTTGGGGGGGAGTGAGGTAATTAGGTTTACTTATTTGTTTTATTTTTAGAGTTGGTGCTGGGGATTGAACCCAGGACCTTGTGTATGCTAAGCATGTGCTCTACCACTTGAGCTATATCCTCCCCATTTGTTCTAATAGCTTTTGTGTGGACTCTTTAGGGTCTTCTATATAGAATATCACGTCATCTGCATATAATGACAATTTTACCACTTCCCTTCCAATTTGGATACCTTTTATTTCTTTTTCTTGTCTGACTGCTGTGGCTAGGACTTCAAATACTATGTTGAATAGAAGTGGTGAGAGTGGCATCCTTGTCTTGTTCCATAATTTAGTAGGAAGGCTTTCAGCTTTTCACTGTTTAGTATTATGTTGGCTGTAGGTTTGTCATAAATGGCTTTTATTATGTTGAGATATGTTCCCTCTATACTCACTTTGGTGAGTTTTTATGTTGAGTGAATGTTGAATTTTATCAAATGCTTTTTCTGCATCTATTGAGATAATCACGTGGTTTTTGCCTTATCTTTCGTTGACGTGGTGTATCACATTAATTGATTTGCTTATATTGAACCATCCTTGTAACACTGGAATGAATCCAATTTGAACATAGTGCATGATCCTTTTTATGGATTGTTGAATTCAGTCTGCTAATATTTGGTTGAGAATTTTTGCATCCATATTCATCAAAGATATTGGCTTATAATTTTCTTTTTTTTTTTATAGTGTCTTTGTCTGGTTTTGGTATCAGGGTGATGGTGGCTTCATAGAATGACTCTGGGAGTGTTTCCTCCTCTTCAATCTTTTGGAGGAGTTGAGAAGGATTGGTATAAGTTCTTCTTTGTATGTTTGGTAGAATTCCCCAGTGAAGCCATCTGGTCCTGGACTTTTGTTTATAGAGAGGTTTTTTGTGTGTTTTATTACAGATTTAATTTCACTTTTAGTGATCAGCCTGTTCAAATTACCTATTTCTTTTTGACTCAGTTTTGGCAGGCTGTATGTTTCTAGAAACTTGTCCATTCCTTCTGGGTTGTCCAGTTTGCTGGCATGTTACTATTCACAGTATTTTCTTACGATTTTTTTGTATTTCTGCAATATCAGTTATTATTTTTTATTTTGTTTATTTGGGTCCTCTCTCTTTTCTTCCTGGTGGGCTGAGTTAGAGGTTTATTGATTTTGGTTTTCCTTTCAAAAAGCCAGCTCTTGGGGGACCGTAGAGCTGAGTGGTAGAGTGTATGCTTAGTATGCACGAGGTCCTGGGTTCAATCCCCCATACCTCGGTTGAAATGAATAAATAAGTAAATCTAATTACCTCCCCCAAAAAACTAAAATAAAAAATAAGTATAATTTTTTTTAAAAATCAGCTCTTAGTTTTATTGATCTTTTCTGTTTTTTTTTTTAATCTCTATCTTATTCATTTCCCCTCTGATCCTGATTATTTCCTTCCTTCTGCTGATTTGGGGTTTTCTTTGTTCTTCTTTTTCTAATTCTTTCAGGTGGTAGGTTAGGTTGTTTATTTGAGATTTTGCTTGTTTCCTGAGGAAGGCCTGTATCGCTGTGAACTTCCCTCTTAGAAGTGCTATTGCTACTTGCCACAGCTTTAGTAAGATTGCATTTTCATTGTCATTTGTCTCAAGGCATTTTCTGATCTCCTCTTCGACTTCATCGTTGACCCATTACTTCTTTAGTAGCGTGTTGTTTACTCTCCATGTCCTTATTTTTTTCCTCATTTTTCTCTCTGTGATTGATTTCTAGTGTCATACCACCTGTGGTCAGAATACACCTTTACATTTCAATCATACATTTTTAACTCTGTAAAATCTAGAATTAAACACTATTTTAACTCTCTTTTCAATCAAGAACCTCAAAATATTTCAACTCTTGTTACCCCTCCCAATTTACACTCTGCTCTTTTTTTTAATTCTCGCAATTTGGATATTTTAATAAACTTTTAAAATGCAGACAATTTATTTTAGATTTACCAAAATATTTACCATTTTATTTGTTCACCATTATTTCTTACATCCAGTCCATGCTTCTGGCATCAGGTATCTCCCCCTTAATGTATGTCTTTAGAAGTTCCTTGGGGAAAGGATGTTGATTTTTAAATATCAGTTTTTCTTCATCTAAAAATGTCTTTATTAAATTATGATTTGGGGGTACACAATTCTAAGTTGACAGGTTTTTTTTTCAAAATAGTTTGAAGTACTATTCACCTGTCTTCTGGATTTCACTGTTACTGTTGGGAAATCTGCTCTCAATCTAATGATTATTCCTTTACAGATGGTCTGACTTTTCTTTCTGGATACGCTTAAGACCTGTTTGTCTTTAGTATTCTCAACCACTGGGTGGGGGGGGGTGTGTGTGCGTGCACGCGTGCACACATGCAGAGAACAGAGACCTTGGAAATTTCTCTTACTTCTCATGATCTCAGCAATGCTTTAAAAAGTATATTCTAACCAGGGCCAGTTGTTTTGTAAGAGGAAGTTCCTTCAGAGAACTGGGCTGCCACAGCTCCAGAAGCAGAAGTCTGTGTGATTCTTTGTATATGCACCACCCCGTGTGTGCACATTTGTGTTTAATGTAAACCTCATGGTGTATGCATCACTCTATGCATCCATCCATGCTTGTGTCCTTGGTGTGCGCATCTTTCTGTAGTTTTCCTAGTATAAGTGTAAGCCCTCCGGGTCTTCCTGTCTGTTTCTCACTAGCTCCTGTCAACCTCACGGTACTTACTCCCAGGGTCAGGGTCAGGGTCAGCCTGGCTGCCATCTGGTGTTACACCTGTTGGGAAAAGGCAGAACGCTGGAGAGAGCAGTGGTGGGCCAGGTTCTGCCTCACTGCATCTCTCCGTCCACTCCATCTGTCTCTTCCACAGCTCTGCCCCCCAGGGCTACACATCCTTCAGCATCAGCGCCTCCCCAGGAGTGGGCGTAGATGTTGCCCACAGTCCTCCAGCCAAGAAGAATCCCACGGGTTCCTCCGCATGGCCCCTGGGCCCTGGGCTGGAGGTGAACCTGACGGTGAGAGCTGCCAGCAGTAGCACAGGTGACCAGAAGGTGAGTGTGGCAGCCGTGGGCTGGGATGTGGAGGAGGAGGTCAGCGGGTCACAGCAGGTCAGCCACTCAGTCCGTCCTGCACTGACCCTCAGCCCCAGCCCTAGCAGAGCCCTCTTCTCCCTAGAAAAGCTTGTGATAGCTTTTTCCAGCCGTAGCATCCTCACAGACAATATAGAGATGCCAAGGGTGTATGGAGGTCAGGGTTTTGATTAAATTCATGCATCTAGTAAGCATCTAGTAATCACCTGCTCCATGCCAGGCACTGCCAGACACTGGAGATACAGAAAAGAATGAGAAAGGTGAGGTTGCAGCCCTTATGAGGTTTACAGCCTCTGGGTAAGAGCAACACAATGTAAACAATTAGAAGTGGTGGTGATGGCTAGGAAGGCCACAGCCGGGCAGCGCCAGGCAGCCCTGGTCCCTGCCTGTGGATTTAGTTTTTTATGGCTGCTGTAATGAATGACCACAATCTATTGGCTTGAAACAACAGAATGTATACTTCTATACTTTGGAGGATGGAAGTCTCAGATCAAGGTGTTGGCCGGGCCATGATCCCTCTGGAGGCTCCAGGGGAGAATCAGCTCTTTGCCTCTTCGAGCTTCTGGTGGCTGTGGGCGTGCCTAGACTTGCGGCCGCATCTCTCCAGTCTCTGCCTCCGTGGTCACATTGCCTCCTCCTCAGCCTGTCAAATCCTCCCCCCCCCACCCGCCTCACTCTTTTAGCGCTTGTCTTGGATTAATACCTGTCCGGTAATCTA